ATGCTTGTACATTTAGAAACAGTACAATTGACGGAAATAAAGTGGATAAAAGGAACCCCATTTATATTATAAAGAGGTAGGGCAAGGGGAACATCTTCGGAAGATTTTCACGCAATTGATTAAACAGAGATGTACGAAGTTCTCGTTCGTTGTACGGTTGGTTGATGAGAAGAATGAACTGAAGGATGAGGATGTTGAAGTCAATTCCCTCCACAACTTGAAAAAGAAATATGATAAAACCATTAATGTTGGCAGAGGTAATAAGAGTGCCAGGTATTAACGGCATGGAGGCGGGGGCATTGTTTACTGTATCAACTTTATCTCAATAGGTAAGCACTGGAACCCTAACTAATATTTACTGAAACCTTAACGGGAATAAATTTTTCCAAACACATATATATATATATATACTCATTGAACGTAGTTTAACTGAAAGAAAATCCACATAAATGATACAAAATCAATTTGCATGGAAGGAAACAAGGCTGTATAGTTTATTCTGTGTATGACAAACTCAGATGGACTATGTGATCGGTGTGTGTATGCTCTTCTATCGGACCTATGCTTCAAAGCCCGGACGTACGTATGTCGTCATCAATCAAGAGAGCTCAGTGCATCCAATACTGACGAATTAGGCTTTTGGATTTTGGATTTGTGAAACGAGCAAAAAATTGTTACGTGATTTACTATCGCCAACGAATTCAAAGCTGAAACAATGTACGAGTGACGCCATAACTGCCATTGCTCCCCATGTCATTTCGAAAGCTTTGTGTCCAGATTACAAGAGCTTGTTGAATAACAGTTGATTAGTTTAGACAACTAATTTGTCGAGAACGAGGTCACTGTATAGAGTATCGGCTTTATATGATAAAGTTAATTAATTCCTCATACAGGATGTGTTTTATACGGGATTTGATGTGGATTTCCTGCCGTTATTTAGGAAATTCCGGCTATGAATGTTTTCATAGGTTAATGGAATCATAATTGTCCAGGGACACTCTACATCAATTTGTAATATGTGATGCTGTGTACACACACACACACACTCACACACACACACACACACACACACACACACACACACACACACACACACACACACACACACACACACACACACATATATATATATATATATATGTGTGTGTGTGTGTGAGTGTGTGTATGTGAAAAATATGATATATATATATATATATATATATATATATATATATATATATATATATATATATATATATATGTTAGTATATTTTGGTAGCAGTCTTTCCTGTAGACATATATTATTAAATATGACCGAAAAAGTAAGATTAATAATTCTAACACGAATTTTCTCAATCTTTCGTACATTACGCTTCACTGTTGGAGGTAAATCAAAAATTAATTCTCCAAAATTCATTTTTATTTCTAGTCTGACGCGACACGGGCGCGTTTCGTAAAACTTATTACATTTTCAAAGAAATGTAATAAGTTTTACGTTTTTTTCTTTGAAAATGTAATAAGTTTTACGAAACGCGCCCGTGTCGCGTCAGACTAGAAATAAAAATGAATTTTGGAGAATTAATTTTTGATTTACCTCCAACAGTGAAGCGTAATGTACGAAGGATTGAGAAAATTCGTGTTAGAATTATTAATCTTACTTTTTCGGTCATATTTAATAATATATATATATATGTATATATATATATATGTATATATATATATATATATATATATATATATATATATATATATATATATATATATATATATATATATATATATAATCTCCGGGTTTGGAGTCCATGTGCCTTCTTTTACCAACTTCGAGGTCAACTCCGGAGCTCACAGTTCCTGCGATGGCGCTGGAACCAATCGTACTGGCGTTTGCTATTCCATTGGAGGCTTTTGGCGCCGTGGAGAGGAGGGAACTGCTGCATGGGTATCAGCTTCTTCCCATATCAACTTACCCTGGCTTTGCGCCCTGGAGAGGCTACTCCAGCCCGGCAACCAGAGCGCAACTCCATAGACTTCCGAGACTGATGGATGCCTACTACTTCCTGATACGATACTACTCATAGTAACTATTTGGTCGACAGTACCAATACGTAGTGTGTCCCCATCAAATGGTTCACCTTTTCTTCTTCTTTAATTTTATAGAGTCCGAAATAAAGCTAAAAACCAAACTTAAACATTCCTGAGGCTGATATAGCACATATATATGTATTAAATAAGGACTTAACATACATTATAATGTACGTTAGATCCAAGCACGCACACTCAGAGACCTAGAGGTCGTGGAGTGCTAGAAGAGGTTAGGTTAAGTTTTATATATATGTTGCGGTTAAAGTTTTCCTCCATTTGACCATATTTAACAATACAAAAGTTAGCTTTCTTGTGGTCCGTCACTACATATTTGTACTTTGGACTAAATAGTTACTATCAGTACAGTATTATCATTTTTTTGGGCGATGGACAGAAGTATATACATGTGTTTCATCTGTTGTGTTTTGTGTGTGTTTCTGGTGTTGTGTGCGTGTTTTAAACACCTGACCTTCTTCAGGTCAGATAACTGCCTGAAGGAGGATCAAGTGTTTAAAATTTCAGAGATCGAAGTTGGCAAGATGAAGAAGAGGATGAAAATCAAGTCAAGAGATGTTCTGTCACATGAGTGTTGAGGTACTTTGACTGTCACATGTGTGTTGAGGTACTCTGTGACATGAGTGTTGAGGTACTCTGACAATCACATGAGTGTTGAGGTACTCTGACTGTCACATGAGTGTTGAGGTACTCTGACTGTCACATGAGTGTTGAGGTACTCTGTCACATGAGTGTTGAGCTACTCTGACTGTCACATGAGTGATGAGCTACTCTGACTGTCACATGAGTGTTGAGGTACTTTGACTGTCACATGAGTGTTGAGGTACTCTGACTGTCACATGAGTGTTGAGGTACTTTGACTGTCACATGAGTGTTGAGGTACTCTGTGACATGAGTGTTGAGGTACTCTGACCATCACATGAGTGTTGAGGTACTCTGTCACATGAGTGTTGAGGTACTCTGTGACATGAGTGTTGAGGTACTCTGAATGTCACATGAGTGTTGAGGTACTCTGACTGTCGGTGAGTCGTCACGTAACCGACTTTGCAGCATTTGAGGACTCACGACTGGGAGTCTTCGTGACTGCCTCATTGCCAATGCACGGCAGCAGGCGAGCAGTTCGTGGCTAAAGTACACTCAAAACTCCAACAGCTGAGTCTATCCACAAACTTACCAGTAAGCTCAAGCTGCGGAAAATCCCGACGGAAGACGTTGGTGGTAAAGGATGTGGCGTCATCGTGAACTGAATACTTAGGGGACACGCTTGCTAGTGCTGGCTGGACCTGGGCAAGGATTTGGGCCATTGAAAGTCCTCCACTCGCTCACGTAACGCCCAATTTCACCATGACTGATTTATGAAAATATTTCTCACAGATATGTCGCATCTTCTTCCAATATGTTGCTTACCACTATTTCATACTCATTACATTTTGCCCCTATTTTGCAACTGCTCAGACTAAGTTTAAGACTTATTCAGCAAGCATAAGAAATATTGCCGGAACAACCGTGGTCATTTTCAAGAGGAAACTAGATTTATTCCTCCAAGGAGTGCCGGACCAACCGGGCTGTGGTGGGTATGTGGGCCTGCGGGCCGCTCCAAGCAACAGCCTGGTGGACCAAACTCTCACAAGTCAAGCCTGGCCTCGGGCCGGGCTTGGGGAGTAGAAGAACTCCCAGAACCCCATCAACCAGGTAACCAGGTAAGTACAAATCTCTCTAGCAGAAACATCTTTACTTCCCTGTTGAGTGTCTCACAACATGAATAATGTGGAGGGACGCGTGTTGGCATCAGTGGGTATAGATGCCAGTGGATCAGCTCACTGGGTCCAGAAGCTGTTGCTCCTCATACGTTCAAGAGTGCGAGGAAGAACTGAGTGCCAGGAAGAACAGAGTGCCAGGAAGAACAGCGTGACAGGAAGAACAGTGTGTCAGAAAAAGCTGAGTGCCCGGAAGAATAGTGACAGGAAGAACAGCCAGAGTGCCACGACAATTTGTGTACATAACAAATATGAACTATTTTGCTAAAGGATTTTTCTCAATTTGATTTGTTGTGGCTTGGAAATGTTTGGGGTTTGTAACTGATTAGTTTTTATATGTGATCTTGGATTGTAACTGTTGTTCGTGACTGTTGGACTGTTGTTTGTAACTGTTAGACTGTTGTTTGTCTAACAGTTACAAAACCGTTGTTTAAAGTTGATTTACTGCTGTCTTTAACTGTTTCACTTGATTCACAGTTAGCAAAAGGTTCAATGGTCTTTGAAACAGCTACACTATTATTTCAAACTATCTCATAACGGTTTACAGCTGTTTTACTGTTGTTTGCTCTTGTTTGACCGCTCTTCATGACGGACAATTCCCAGAGAGAAATTTGTCAAGTGAAAACTACGGAACAATATGTCACGTGTCCCCGGGGTGTTGTGGGAGAAGACACAGCTGATTTATGTCAACATAAATCAACAAACTTCCCCCTAAGTGACATATTGCGTCAGTATTGGTCAGGTGGCCCTGTGGGCGGCGTTGGTTATGTTGGCGGTGGCGCTGATGGGGAGCCTTGTGAGGGAGGAGAGGGAAGAATGTGAGGGAGGAGAGGGAAGAATGTGAGGGAGAAGAGGGAAGAATGTGTGGGAGAAGAGGGAAGAATGTGAGAGCACAGAGGGAGAGAACACACACAGTTTGTCCTCTTCTTGTACGCTCACACAGTTCTTCACACTAGAGAGTGCACGCATAACGCCATGAAAAAAATCACTGAACCACTAAAATATATTTTCAACTCTTTGCAAGGCGACTATTATAATACTGTTCGTCACGGAAGATAATATTAAAACGACAGAAGTTTACATCAAATAGCGAGAAAAGAAGTTAGTTTACATTTAATAATAAAAGTCTGGAGAGTGTCCCAACACTTCTTGGACTTCTCGGAGGAAATGGGAGGCGAGATGAAAGTCTGGGAGAGACGAATGGAGGAAGAGACGGAAGGAGAGATGGAGGAAAGCAGAAAAGATGGAAGAGCCAAATGGCTGGATGAAGTAACGGGAGGTAAAGAGAAGGGAAGAAAGGAACATTAACGAGAATTATGGTCAAGCCTACTTCTATACACGTACATACTTTGAGCATCAGGGCCTCGAACCCAGGACCACAGAAGGGAAAGACTGCGATTCTATCAACAAGGCTACTGAGCACCACACTTAAGGAGGATCCCTGAGACACAGCTGGTATCTAACTGGAACTTTAAACCTCCCCATCTCTCCTATCCCTCTCTCCCTCACGTTCTTCCTCCTCGCTCTCTTCCCCCTTTTCTCTTTTTCCACACTTTCTCCATCCTTCTCACTAGCATTCTTCCTATTTGTCTCTCTTGTGTATCTTTTCTCTTGCTCTCTTTTACTCCCTTCCTCTCTCTCTCTCTCTCTCTCTCTCTCTCTCTCTCTCTCTCTCTCTCTCTCTCTCTCTCTCTCTCTCTCTCTCTCTCTCTCTCTCTCTCTCTCTCTCTCACACACACATACAATATAACGATCAGGTAAAACGAAGAAAGTCAAAGGGGAAAAACATGACGTCGTCAAAGTTTATTCAGGCTTTTAAAGGGTAAATATTATGATTGGATTTTTTTAACATTTTGCCGAGGTTGGGGCATAATGTTTTACGATATAGTACAAAACTCATATTCACGCTGTAATGTTAATGGAAGATTCTTCATCGGAGTAGCTTTGCCACCAGGTCAAGTGGTACTCGTTTTTATGATGCCCCTGATCCTGATCTTCCTATTTTGGGTACATACCCAACTGCAAATAATGTAAAGCATTGGGTAAGCATCTTGTCTCTGACTTTGAACAGGCTGACAGGTAGACTTTCCAATTTATAGTAATAAGTATATATATATATATATATATATATATATATATATATATATATATATACAAATATACAAATAAAATAGGTATACATGTATATATACAAAAGAATGGGGTGGTAGGAGAAGAAAATATTAATGTGTTCAGTGAGAATCCACAAGGTCTTCTCTGAATACTCCTTATTTTCTTCTCCGAGGCTCTAGGTCTCCACACTTGCTCACCAGAGGAGGTACCCTCACAACCTTACATATATATATATATATATATATATATATATATATATATATATATATATATATATATATATATATATATATATATATATATATATATATATAACTTTATAAACAAGTCCTTTTCATTGAAAAGTAAGATAAACAAATTCTTGAGACGTACGAATTGTCCACTAAAGTATCATAACAATTTACAATTTATGTGTTATCCTCAATAATAATAGGCATTATGTGTGATATATTTCAATTAATTGAATGTATATTATCCAACAAAAATCCTCCATTACGAAATATTGTGACGTACAACCTGGACCAGTTATCAGTGAAAATACCCAGATATCAAAACAATCAAATTATTAAGTTATTAAAACAGCACCAGTCATTCAACAATAGGGTGAATGAAGACTCGTAATTCTAACTATCGAAATAGCTCAACTTGAGTCAGGATGACAGGAATTCTGCTGAAACAACTTAACTAATTTAACTTAATGTGTCCATCAGAAGATTACAGTTCAACATCACAGTTTAACATTCCATTTAAACTGTCGGAGAAACAGTGACCCTGTGTTCGAGTAGACTGTAGAGGCATTGTTGCCCCACAGCCATGGCGGTTTTCTCTTAGACTCCTATCTTTATATTTAAACACTGTTAAGCTGCTAAGTGGCTTCCAGCATCATTGCTCTCCATTATTTTCCAGCTTTACATAAATCGAGTAGGTGCATTCTTCTTCCTTCGGAGAGGAAGCCATCAGAAGCGAGGCAGATATTACATAGACTGCAATAACATGTATATCTTACTATAGAACCGAGACACGATTTAATCATCTAATCTCAGACAATTAGATTTAGTGCCTCACTGAGGCATTATAAACGCTAATTACTATCGTAGACAGTATTGGCTACCTATTGTACTGAAGCATTTTATTGTGATCCTCTCGTTTATGATAGAAAATATGAAAACATGAATATACAATGATCTCCACTTTACTTTTTTTAAAACTTATAAATGCTCCATTTATTTACTTGAATAACTTTTGTCCCTAAATATGCTGCTAATAAACCTGTCTGGGAAAACTGTTAATATCCTGGATACCAGGTATACACCTCATACGGCATAGGAAGGGAACTCTGAGAAGAAAGCGTCAAAACATTACGACTATATAGCACTTGGAAGGGATCAGGATAATGATTTGGGATGGGAAGGAATGGTGCCCAACCACTTGGACGGTCGGGGATTGAACGTCGACCTGCATGAAGCGAGACCATCGCTCTACCATCCATTCCAAGTGGTTACGGCCTAGGAACTAGATGTTAGTTCATAATCTTTAAGGAAAATAAGACGTGTAGAAACTCTCGTCGACCCCCCAAAACCTTCCATTAATTATGGGGCCTGATTTGAAGCGTTGACGTGAAATGTTGTCAGAAAATATTGACTTAGAAGCTCAATTTAAAAGTCTCAATGATTAGCACACATTTGCAGTGCGATTTTTTTTAAATAACTCAGCGCTTGGGCGCCGCAAAATCCTTAAATTCTTCAGTACTTGTTTGATATTAGTATTTGCAACGTTGCACTCTAATCAAATGTAAATATGTTTCGATGTTCCACTTTTAAATCATTTTTGTAATCTGCCTCTTCTCTACTACCTCACAGTGGAGTCAATATAGATTAAAATAACACCTTTTGTAACAGTTACGGTGAAACATAATATAAGCTTCCGCATTACGTGCCACTGTTATGCCGAAACTTACGCTACCGGTCTAAGCTGATTACGCAACTTTGTATAAAAAAATGTTTGGTGAAGCCAACGTGTCATAGACTACGCAGAAAAATGTGAGAATTGATTGAAAATTTAAAAGAATTGAATTGATTGACGAACTGAAAATATATGGGGCCTGAAAAAAGGGGCCTCGTAGCCTGGTGGATAGCGCGCAGGACTCGTAATTCTGTGGCGCGGGTTCGATTCCCGCACGAGGCAGAAACAAATGGGCAAAGTTTCTTTCACCCTGAATGCCCCTGTTACCTAGCAGTAAATAGGTACCTGGGAGTTAGTCAGCTGTCACGGGCTGCTTCCTGGGGGTGGAGGCCTGGTCGAGGATCGGGCCGCGGGGACACTAAAGCCCCGAAATCATCTCAAGAAAAAATCATCTCAAGATATGATTACGCACAAGAAATGTATGAAAAAAATTGATTACATTGTTGGATTTGAATCTGATCACTGCCTGTAAACTGGACAATGTGTATTACCCTCCAGGAGAACACGAAGGAAGGTCAGCTGGTTACAACATTCTCTCCCTGGAGAATCACAATATATCCTGGAGTGATTCCAATACAGCGTAGAAGTGGACAAAATAAGCTAAGCGTTAAATAAACATGGTCATGGGAAAACGCAGAGATCTTCTCCCATTAAAACATTTGCAAAACTACCCAGGCGGATGAATCTGAAGTTGGTGGTGAGCGGGGGACGAGGGTGGGAAGTGAAGTGGTGGGTGGAGATTCACTGCCACATTATCCAGTTTCACAGACACCAGAACAGCTAAGTTTAGCCTTGGATGCTACCTGGGAGATAAAATTGAACTGAAAGATGGAGTGCCACAAGGAAGCTGCCTATCAACTATTCCTTTCAACATATAAACAGCAGACCTGCCCTCTCCCCAACATGATGAATACATCACATATGTTGACGACGTAACTTAAACAATGTGCCACTCAGGACAATTGTCGTTATTGGTCAACAAAACCAAGAAGACAATAGAATTCCTAAAGTAAAGAATACATAGTAATTATGTAATACTATGTATTCATTTATACATTTATATATGTTAAGAACCTTACAAGCAAAAGACGTGTCAGCAAATCGAACAGCCCCCTGCTATCACCAGCACCACAGCACAGCCTGTTATCACCAGCACCACAGCACAGCCTGTTATCACCAGCACCACAGCACAGCCTGTTATCACCAGCACCACAGCACAGCCTGTTATCACCAGCACCACAACACAGCCCCACCACCAACACCACAACACAGCCCCATTACCGACACCACAACACAGCCACATCACCAGTACGACAACACAGCCACAAATAAAGACAAACACTTCTCTCTCTGATGTCAAAGGGCGAGAGGCCTGGGTGAGACTTCTTCTTTCAAGACGCTCTCACAGCCTTTGTCAACATCACTTAACATACATATTGTTGCTATGAATATCCCAGAGCCCTCATATACTGCAGAATTGTCTTCACACTTGAGCTTCGCTCAAGCGTAGACAGCATTTAAATAAAACATTTCTCAACTAATGTTATTGAGTATTTTTCGTTGAAGTAGAATGCACAAAAATAAGATTACATAAGAAGGGAGAGTGATAAATGCAGTGATAATTACCACAGGCAGGAAGACAAGGGAGCACCACAATACAGCTTCTCAACAAAGCCAAATTATCATAAACAAATTAATTATTTCTATTATAAGTGATTTCAAAGTTACCCAAATTCGTTACGAATGTTACGGATGATTGAGACCGAACATTTAATCCTGCAATCCGCAAGTACTTGAGTATTATAATGAATGACTAGAGACTTCCAGTAGTATCCTCAGATATGCACAAGATGCCCGGGATTATCGCAACTAGTTTGAGAACTCTGTGATTTAGAACTCCAAAGGACTAACAAGTAGTTGTAATTTAACAACAAGGGTTCAGGATTCCCACTGGACCTTTTACGTAATCAGGTCTCTCGCAAATGGTTCAAGACTAAGACACTAACTTAGGACCATCGTATACTTCTCTTGAGGACGATCAAAACATCTATAATCGCTGACTCTTCCTAAAGAAATAAAATGTAAGGAGCTTCAAGTTCTCTCCAGAATCTTTTTGAAAAGCGAGCTTCCGACGTTGCTCGATATTTCAAGAGCACTTGCAAGAGGCGTAGCAAAGTCACAAGATATTCTCTCGACGATAACTTA